TTTTTAAATTACTCATAGTTAATAGTTAAAATAACTAATAGCTAAATAGTTAAAATAACTATTTAAATATAGTTAAAATAACACTTCTCAAGCGATCCGGGAAACTGGCCTGAGTATGGTTCAGATAGCATAGTGTGAGTGGGCCCTTAAAATGTTTACACAGGCCCTAAAAACGCAAGCTATTAATATAAACTTTCACTTTATTATTTCATTTCATTTTCTTGTCGGCTTAGTCCATTTATTAATCCGGGGTCGCCACAGCGGAATGAACCCCCAACTTATCCAGCAAGTTTTTACGCAGCGGATGCCCTTCCAGCCACAACCCATCTCTGGGAAACATCCACACACACATTCACACACTACGGACAATTTAGCCTACCCAATTCACCTGCACCACATGTCTTTGGACTGTGGGGGAAACCGGAGCACCCGGAGGAAACCCACGCGAACGCAGGGAGAACATGCAAACTCCACACAGAAACGCAGACTGAGCCGAGGCTCAAACCAGCGAACTTCTTGCTGTGAGGCGACAGCACTATCTACTGCGCCACTGCTTCGCCCCACTTTATTATGACTAAACTAAAAATTACAGTGTTCTAAATATATAAATATATACCCGTCAACTATAATCTTGACTTCACATTCTGACTATTGTCCATTCACACATTGCGATACCGATGCTAAAACACTACATTGTGCAAGGGTAAACCTGGTGTATCTTGTGACCCACATTTGGCATGCAAGAGAAGACCTGCAGTGCCCTGCTCTGGTTAACTCTTCCTCTCTGGCGTCCTGGGACGGATCTTAAGGCTCTAATCACTGGGAGACATGCACCAACTCTGCAGTGCTGCTCTCTCAGAGAAACCATCGTAAATCATCAGCCTGCGGATTAGGCCTTGGGTAATCATGTCAACAGACAGATTACATTTTGTTTGTCCTTTAGAATACATATCTGCTGAAAAGTCAAATTGGAAACCGTCACTCCGATGCATTTTTCATTAGCGGCACTCTTAAGAAGGACACGTGTGCATGCCGGACGTATACAAGAAGAGGGATTTCTGCGTGGACGTGAACAACAGTATGCATGCGGATGATTACACATGTATGATGTATGAACTTATGAAGCAATGCTGAACGCGACGATTTATCATGGCAGCTTATAGTAAGACAGATACACAGAACAGTGCTGAGACACACATACGCAACACTGCTGGACTATGGAAGCAAATATTTACAGCTTGTGGTCTTGTGATATGCAAACTTCAGTGTAAAACTGTTCAAAAGAAGAATCTGACTAGACTTGGTCCTAACACACATCACATTGAAAGAAGATTCTGACTAGACTTGGTCCTAACACACATCACTTTCTGACTAGACTTGGTCCTAACACACATCACATTAACTGCTTTAGTAAACAAATGTAAAACAAGCGACTATACAACAATGCCTTAACACTGGACCTACAAGAAATCTCTAACTAGAATTATATTATTATATTCAAAGCATCTTTTGAGATTTTAGAATTAAGTTTCGAATGTCTGCCATTTTATTTTAAGTCATTAACCTAAAAAAAATAAATAAATAAAAAATGTAACATAGCCATAACCAATTTTTTTTTCATTGCAGTAAAAATGTTGTTTTGAAAAGACAAGTCTGAAGTACACTTTAAAAATAACTCATGAGGCTTGTTAGCACTACATAGTTTAATACATTATTGTAACTTAAAAATTCTAAAATGTTGCTTAGATTAAAACTTTTAAGTTGACGGAATAATTTTATTAAGTTTTTAAAACAGGAAAATAATGATAATTACATCAATTTAAAAAAAAGCGGCTAATTTAAGGGTAAATATATCTGTCAGTTACTTTAAAACACTATCGAACTTGTAGCAACCCAAAATAATTGGGTTAACTCAATTTTTCCATAATAATAGAGTTGTATTGTGCATGGTTCGGGATCTGTAGAGTTACGCATCGATGAATTTGCTCTTCAGTGTTTGGACTCTCAGTAATGATTTAAACCACACTGAACTAAGCTAAACTGAACTGAACTTAAACAGTAAAAACTGAACTACCCTGTTCCAGTTACTATGACCATTTATGTGAAGCTGCTTTGACACAATCTACATGGTAAAAGCGCTATACAAATAAAGCTGAATTGAATTGAATATTGTATTTTTAAGTCCACACACTGATGTTCTTTGTTATTTTTTCATATTGATAATATGGCACAGTACATGTTTTTGTTTTGTAAAACAACGAAAACCTGTGGTTTAATACAAATACAAAATTACAGAGAAACAAAAATGCTGTTGTTAAATGTATTTCTTACAAGCATGATCAGTACATTTGAAAACAAACAAAAAATTAAACAATTTCGACTACTTAATTTATTTGAGGTTCTAAACTTGAAAACGTGCATGTAATTAAGTACATAACACTGGATTTGTTTTCAGGTTTTTGCTTTGTAAAAATGCCTCTGATTGAAGAGAAAAAGATTGGGCTAACATAATAGAGTTTGTTGTCTAAACTTCATTTTGTTCAATGTTGTCGTAACTTGAATATATTAATGCAAACAGTTGTGTTAATATTTTTTTGTTTTGTTTAACAATATTTTTTGAGTGTAGAATTAGATTTTTGATATCAGAAAGGCAACAGAAACACGCATATTCAAATGCACGGGAAAACAAAAAGTAGGGAAAAATAGGGAACAATCGACATTCAGAACCTATAATCGATCTGATTTTCCTAGGTCGATTTTTTCAATTGTTTACCTTACTGTGTGTGTGGAGTCACTTGAACCAGTGACCTTCTTGCTGTGAGGCGACAGCACTACCTACTGCACCACCGCGTTGCCTTTACTACGCAATTATTTCATTTATTTAATTTCATTTAAAATTGAAGAAAAAGCCCCAATCAGATGCAAATGTCTGCAGCCCTGCCTCCGTTTTCAGTAGTCTCAGTTTTCCCCCAGTCCACACTGACACAGAGCAGCAGTGTTTTAAAATAAAAACAACCTCTTCAGCATTTTCAACAAGCTCAGTTTTCAGTGCTCAATAATTACGGAGTAGTGTGGACGGATAGCATAGCCATAGCAAAACTTATGCGTTTTAAAACCAAAATGTAAAAGTGTAAACAAAGCCTCAGTCAACATCGGTGAGTACGGTGAACTAATCACCTTCATGGCCAATCACAGTCATTTCTGTTGAGCATGTGAACGCAATGGCAAACCAACGCTTTAAGAACGTGCTCAACAGCACTCAAATGTTAGCAAGAAATTAACGTTTAAAAAAATAGGATGGTGAATAAATGCTTTTCATTGCGAATCAATGCATGTTTGCAATAAAAAAATGCATATCTTAAAACCTGTAAACACTTTTTCTGTTTCTGCCTCTAACTGTGTGTTATGAAAAACTTTCCGGAAAAAAAGCAGAAGGCAAATTGCAATAGTTGTAATCCAAGTTATCAATTTTATTTTTTCAGGTTGTTTCCTTTGCTGTTGTGCTTGTAACTATGAGCTAATTTTCGCTTTTGGGAGAACTGGCCCAACAAAAGTTGAAGAAATAAAAGGTTCAATGTTTAATTTTCTCAAAAGAATGGGAAGTAGAGGATGAGCTTATTGCAGGAGGCCTCCACACCTTGAGGGTCAAACATAGAAAGGCAGTGGCAAACAGCCAGTCAAACCCCTGAGAAACTCAAACAGGCTGTTCAGCATTCCTTGTGGCTGCTTTCTTTGCCTAGTTTGCAGTGGCAGGACTGAGAGAACTAAGAAATTCAATACGGTGACTCGTTAAAACAAACGGAAAGATAAATCTAAGAGGATCAGCTTGCTTTATGCAAGAACTTAAATAAGAAATAAGACTTACGTTTTTATAAAGTTTGAGTGTGAGTTTTTGTACTATTCACAACATGTTTCCACAGGTACTTTTAAGACAACATATGAATTGACAGGATGTGTTAAAAGGATAGTTCAACCAAAAAAAAAAAAAACTAATTCACTGGCTATTTATTTACCCTCGAGTGGTTCCAAAGTTAAACACAAAAGAAATTTGTCTTGAAGAAAAGCTGTTTCCAACATTTTTCAAAATATCTTCTTTTTTTTCTTTAACACATGAACTGTCCCTGGGGGAACTATCCCTTTAAAGTAAAAAAACATATACGTTTAAAGATCACGGTCACTAACACGTTACAATTTTCTCATCCCTATAAAGAGAGGCAATTGACACATCCCTGATTGGGATTTACTACTCAACACCTCAGTGCCAAGACTCCCACCACATTTTTGGAGGGAAAATGTTACGACCAGCACACACTGAAAGCAAAAACTTAGTGTATGTTAAATAATACTGAATATTTCCGACAGAGCTCACAACAGATTGTCATGTGCTTGAATTTTCATGTGAAATAATACTGCAAGCAGCATTAAAATTAGGGATGGATGGATGGATGGATGGATGGATGGATGGATGGATGGATGGATTTGGACAGACAGACAGACAGACAGACAGGATGGATGGACGGATGGACGGACAAACGGATGGATGGATGAATGGATGGATATGGATGGATAGATATGGATGGATGGATGGATGGATGGACAAATAGATAGATAGATGGATAGATATGGATGGACGGATGGACAGATAGATAGATAAATAGATAGATGGATAGATGGATAGATAGATAGATAGATAGATAGATAGATAGATAGATAGATAGATAGATAGATAGATAGATAGATAGATAGATAGATAGATAGATAGATAGATAGATAGATAGATAGATAGATAGATGGATAGATAGATAGACAGACGGATAGATAGACGGATAGATAGACGGATGGATGGATGGATGGATGGATGGATGGATGGATGGATGGATGGATGGATGGATGGATGGATGGATGGATGGATGGATGGACAGACAGACAAACAGAAGCCCTCACAGCATGACAATGCTTTCATTATGACTAGGCCAGGGTTGAATGACACATTGTAGTACCTATAAGAGCCTGGAAGAGGTTACTCTGAAAGATGTCAATGACTCTCTGGATGGAGTGCCTCAGCTGTCTGTCTTCAGTGCTACTAAGTTTTGACCGATATTCCTCCAGCAGTAACAGAGCCCTCTGTGCATCTATTAGACAGATAAACACAAAGAAGTCATGAGTTACATAATTACACGACATTGCATACAGACAGCATCAAGTGATTATTTTGAATTTACTGATGACGTTGTGATAGAGTGCTGTAAAATACTTAGCATAAAGTTTATGAGAACGAGACTATAAATGATCTTAAAGAGATAGCTCACCTAAAAATGAAAATTCTGTCATCAGTTAATGTTACTCAGCGTTTATTTGTTTCAAACCTTTATGAGTTTCTGACTTATGTTAAACACAAAAATTGCTTTGAAAAATGTAGGAAGCATGTAACCACTGTCTTCCTTGGTATTTGTTTCTCCTACTATATGAAAGTCAATGGTTACAGGTCTTCAACGTTCTTCGAAATATCTTCTTTTGTGTTCAACAGATAAAAAGGTTTAAAACCAACTGAGTAAATAGTGAGTAAAAGTTTGTGAACTATCTCTTTAATAATCTGTCAGTCTACAACAGTAAGTTAAGCCTCAAAAACAGTAACTAGCCAGCAAATGTATTGAAAATTACAAGATTTCACAAGGTCTTTTTCTCACTTTTTTCCTGAATTATCTTTTTAATAATCTGTCAGTTTAAAACAATAAGTTAAGTCTCAAAAACAGTAACTAGCCAGCAAATGTATTGAAAATTACAAGATTTCACAAGGTCTTTTTCTCACTTTTTTCCTGAATTATCTTTTTAATAATCTGTCAGTTTAAAACAATAAGTTAAGTCTCAAAAACAGTGACTAGCCAGCAAATGACAAGATTTTGAACAGACTGTCTCTCACCTTTTTTCTTGACTGGCATGTGACAGTGCTGAAAGTGACTTTGCATTATGAGAATGAGATTTTAAATAATCTTAACGCGATAGCTCACCTAAAAATGAAAGTTCTGCCATCATTAATGTTACTCAGCGTTTATTTGTTTCAAACCTTTATAAGTTTCTTGATTGTTAAAAACAACATATATATTTCTGAAAAATGTTGGAAACATGCAACCACTGACTTCCTTAGTATTTGGTTTTAATACTATAGAAAATCATCGGTTACAGGTTTTCAACATTCTTCGAAATATCTTCAGGTCTGTTTCTCACTTTTTACCTGAACTATCTCTTTAATAATCTGCCAGTCTAAAGCAATAAGTTAAGCCTCAAAATAAGTGACTAGTCAGCGAAATGTTTTCAAAAAATGACAAGTGTGATACTTTCATTCCTGAACTATTTTAAAGAAAAAAATGTTGGAAACGTAATCACTGACTTACGTAGTATTTATTTTTCCAACAATAGAGGGTTACAGGTCTTCAACATTCTTTGAAATATCTATTTTTGTGTTCAACAGAAGACAGGTTTAGTTTAGTGAGTAAATATTCATTTTTGGGTGAACTATCTATTTAATAATCTGTCAGTCTGAACCAATAAGTTAAGCCTCAAATGAAGTGACTAGCCAGAAAATGTATTGAAAATTACACGATTTTAAACAGCCTGTTTCTCACTATTTTCCAGAACAATATCTTTAATAATCTGTACATCTAGAACAAATAAATTAAGCCTCAAAAAACAGTGACTAGCCAGCAAATCACAAGATTTTGAACAGTCTATCTCTCACCTTTTTTCCTGACTGGCTTGTGACATAGTGCTGAAAGTGACTTTGCATTAAATTTGATAAGAACGAGATTTTAAATGATCTTCAAGCCATAGCTCACCTGAAAATAAAGATCTGTCATCTGTGATTGTAACTCAGCATTTATTTGTTTCAAACCTTTATGAGTTTCTGACTCATGTTAAACACAAAAGAAGATATTTTGACAACTGTGTATACACAGGAATCAGAGAGTGAAATACCTTTTAAGACCTTTTTAAAGACTCTTTTCATACATTTTAAGACCTTATAACCACTTTTCATTACATAAGAAATTAATAAGAAATTAATAAGAAATTAATCAAAAACTGAAACATTATTCATAAACTGAATAAACATCTATTAAATCTAGCTAATTCAGCAAGTCGGCAGTAAACAAACCAGCATGATGTCAAATCTAGTAGGATTTTATTGATTTCATAAACTACACAGCATCCAGATATTCACAGATTTAATTCAGGAAGATTTAATTCAGGCAAACTTAAGCATACAACCATACATTGCGTAATCAAAAATTATATTAAATTAAATACCTTGCAAAATAGCATTTAAGACTTTTCAATACTTTTTACATTCATCTACATTGACTTTTCAACTTTTAATAAGATGCTCCAGACACCCTGGAGAAATGTTGGAGTAACCACTGACTTCCTTAGTATTTGTTTCTCCTACTATATGGAAGTCATGGTTACAGGTCTTCAGCATTCTTCGAAATATCTTCTTTTGTGCTCAACAGAAGAAAGGTTTAAAACCAACTGAGTAAATAGCGAGTAAATGTTTGTGAACTATCTCTTTAATAATCTGTCAGTCTAAAACAATAAGTTAAGCCTCAAAATAAGTGACTAGCTAGCAAATGTATTAAAAATTACAAAAAAATTCTCACATTTTTTTCCATGAACTATTTCTTGTTGGAAACATCTAGCCACTGACTTACAGTATTTGTTTCTCCTACTGTGGAAGTCAACGGTTACAGGTTTTCAGCTTTCTTCGAAATATCTTATTTTGTGTTCAACAGAAGAAAGGTTTAGTTTAGTGAGTAAATATTGATTATGCGGTGAACTATCTATTTAATAATCTGGCAGTCTAAACCAATAAGTTAAGCCTCTAACGAAGTGACTAGCCAGCAAATGTATACAAAATTACAAGATTGTACATAGTCTGTTTCTCATTTTTTTCCTGAACTATATCTTTAATAATAAGTCAGTCTACAACAATAAATTAAGGCTCAAAATAAGTGACTAGGCAGCAAAATGTACTCAAAAAATGCCAAGTGTGTTTCTCACCTTTTTTCCTGACTGGCATGTTTCGGTTGGGCTCGTGCACGATAATAATAATAACCAATCCAGCACGGTGGCTCGCGAAAGAAACGAACGACAAACACGACAACAAAACGCTCCTGTCCCAACACGAGTCTCACGGCGGGGTGAGTTAGACGCAGTTGGCATGAAACTCAAATGTTTATCCGGTAAACATGAGGACGGTTCGGGCTGCTACAAAAACGAGCCTCTGGGTTTTTTTTAGGAGTCGAGCTGCACTACTTCTTCTTCCTCTTCTTCTTCAACCTGTCAGTCGCACTTGAGCGTTATTATTCCGCTGACAGCCCCGCGTTTCCATTCAAAACACATCCAGACGCTGAAATTCAGCCTCCGCCGCCAAATCTGCTCCGCGGCTGCGGGAGAAAGCTGAACATATGTCGCCGCCAGTTGCAGGAGGGCTTCCAAAAACTCCCCAAACTGTAAATATACACCTCCCAGTCATGCGCCTGCAAAAGGCTGAGTGTGAACACAAGCGATTCAGATCGTCGCGTCCGCGGTTCGCTTCATTCTCTTTCGCCTTCGCAGCAACCGAGGATTCTTTTCCTAAACGTCAAACTTCTTTCCTTCCCTCCTCCTCTTTTTTTTCTTCCTATGTGTCAGAAATTCCAAACTTTCCTCCAAAATGGCGTCCCAGGGTTGGAAGAATGTCACGTGATTTAGACCCTACCCTTGACCGCCCAATCGTGGGCCTGAACTACCTTTCAGCTCAGGGTTGGGAAGGTGAGACTTGCCACTTTCTTAAAGTGATAGCTCGACCCAAAAATTACAGTTTGCTCACTATTTACTCTCCCTCAAGTGGCCTTTATGGGTTTCTTCATTCTGTTGAACACTAAAAGAAGATATTTTGAAGAAAGCTGAACACCTGACTTCCATTATAGTAGGAAAAACAAATAGTATGAGAGTCAATGGTTACAGGTTTTCTTCAAAATATCATTGTTTGTGTTTAACAGAAGAAAATTTGTCACAATTGAACTGTGAGTAGCCTAAATGATGACAGAAATAAATTTTTGGGTGAACTGTCCCATTAAAGGAGACTCACTGACTAAAGTGGAATAAACAATGGTCCAAATATAGGCTCCTAGTGATGGACATATTATGACTGAACATTGCTGTGTGTGTTTTCAGTTCAAACTAAACATTCACGTGTAAGACTACACCGGCTTTGATTTACTAGAGCGCTGCCAAGAAGTTGTAATGGCTGTTCACGTGGAGGCTCAACTGAGGGCCTTATGTAAAGCCACACACAACCTGATCTCTGTGTTGAACCAATAGTTTAATGCTCAACACGATTTTCAACTTGATTTTATGTATTAAAACTTCATTTGCATGAATCTGTTTTTATGTATTTTCATCAATCTTGTTTTTTTCCCTCTAAATAAACTCTTTAATGCACAATACAATTTATGAAATTTAATAAAAACAAAGTTACATGATCTTTTTATATGAATCTACCCACATAGCAAAATTTCTCTGGCCCACACAATCAGCGTATGCTTGGCCCACATGCTGTAATGAATTTCGGTACATGATTGGACCAAGTCTGGCTTTCATACAAGGGCCAAACATACACAGTATCTGGGCCAAGTCTCAGCCAAGCTGAAAATCCATAACTGGGCCTGAACTGGGCCAGATATGTTGGTGAGTCGTGACTGCAATGAATTTGATACACCCATGAAGCAATGCGCTTTAGCTGCACTATGGGTGTGCTTTTTCTCGAAGCAACCTAATTGGTGGAAATTTTTCTTTACTCAAAAATAATTTAAAATTATTTTAAAAGTCAAGATAGGAAAAACATCTGGTCCAAATACTACATTTGAAATCTGGCCCAAGTCTCGTGTGCCGCAAAGACAGTGCCGCATCTGCCAAACCCAGGTCATATTTGGCCCACATGCTGTATGCCAGTGCCAGATGAACACCTGCTGTGCCACATACCAACCTATAAATGCACATATGCATACAGTGTAGGGTAAGTTACTTTAAAAAGTATTTAATAACCCAGTAGCAAAGAATTCTGGCCCAGATTTGGCATAAAGCTGGCCCAGCAGGCATTCGTCCGGCACTGGCATACACCATGTGGGCCAAACAAGACCTGGGTCTGGCAGTGGTGGCACTGCATTTAAGGCGGCACATAAGACTTGTGCCAGATCAAATGTAATATTTGGCCCAGGTGTTACACATTTATATGTGGGCCATGTAAGTTTGGCCTATCTTGACCCACTTTTAAAATACATTTATATTTTTTATTGAGTAAAGAAAAAAATTCTACCATTCAAGTCGCTTCGAGAAAAAGCAAGGTTTATTAAGTTCACTGCAGTCGTGACACACCAAGGTATATGGCCCAGTTCAGGCCCATTATGAGTTATTAACTTGTCTGAGACTTGGCCCAGATATGGTCCATGTTTGGCACTTGCATGGAAGCCAGACTTGGTCTAATCATCTATTGTAATTCACTGCGGCATGTGGGCCAACAAAAGGTGAATGAGTGGGCCAGATTTGGGCCAGAGAAATTTAGCTCTGTGGGTAATTACGAACTACAGCATCCAAAATGTATTTATAATACTTGACTCAATACTACTGTAATAAAGTTTACGGCCCTTTGGCCGCCGGGAAGAAGGAGGCGGAGGACCGACGCAGTTTTAAATGATTTATTTATAACATGAACGGCAGCTCCTCACGGAGACTGCCGTCTAAACCAAAACAACCGGACAGCAGCCTCTCACGGAGACTGCCATCAAACTAAAAGTAAAACAATATGCCCGGGCCCGGTCCTCTCTCGGCTTCCTCTGCCATCGTTCCTCCTCTTATAGTCCAGAGCTCCTTCCGTGGGATTCGAGGCCAGTGCGCACCACAGGTGCATCCACTTACGCGCGGCCTCATTCCGTTCCCACGACTCTTGGCCACGCCCCCTCGCCACAACTACCTAAAATCCATATACATTTCAATGCTTGACCAACATATGTATAGAAACTTTTATTTTGAGTCAAACCAGGAACTTTTAGTTTTACTTTACAAAATGAACATTTCAACTGTTTTTTTTTTTTTTGTGATCAACGTTTTATTGACTTTAGATTAACAAAACAAAAAGACATACAAACAAACAAACAGGGGAGGGGGAGCAAAAGACGAATCCACAATTTTTAATCTGAAAGATTTACATAGAGAAAAAAAAAAACCTTTACATTGTCATTCCTTTAGATCACAGGTGTCAAACTCAGTTCCAAAAGGGCCGCAGCTCTGCACAGTTTAGTTCCAACCCTAATTAAACACACCCGATCAAACTAATTGAGTCCTTCAGGCTTGTTTGAAACCTACAGGTAAGTGTGTTGGAGCAGGGTTGGAACTAAACTGTGCAGGGCTTCGGCCCTCCAGCAATTGAGTTTGACACCCCTGCTCTAGATAGTCCAAAATGCTGGAAGAAAAGCATTGCTATGCATCAATGGTACTAGGTCTAGCCTTATTAATTTGTGCTATTGTAGCTTCACAAGTCACTATTTTAAGGAGGCTATGAATCCAAAACGTTTTTGCACACATGTGCGGAGAAAACCAATTTTGTATGATTGCCTTCTGTAAAACCAGCAAACAGCATTCTCTTCTTTAGTGTACTTGTACAGAAATGAGTATCATCATTGAGAAGACATAAACCAGGATTGGACACATAATTAAGTTGTAGTAAAAAGGACAAAACAGAATTTACATGAGACCACAGGTCGGCAACAATTGGACATTCCCGAAACACATTTAAACATTTTGTAAACAGTATATGTATCAAAAAGTTTCAAGTTAATGACAGCACATTTCATACAGTACATGACACATTTCTTACTCGGTTCACTGGATCTTAAGCATGTGCAATTGACTTAATAAATAACCTTCTTTAGTTGAAAAATAGAATTCCTCTGACAAAAATACAACTACTCTGCTTCTCTGAACTGATTTATACAGAAATGTTGAATTAATGCAGTATTTACTAAATACTTGATTACAGTATTTAAGGCAAGAGCATTATCAAAAACTGTCATTTACTTCCCTAAAACTGAAAAGTATTTAATTTTTCAGTGGAATTACATTAGCTAGTCATTTTGTAACTAAATACACCCAACACTGACAGTATCTTATTTATAAACGCAATATTATTCCTATTATAATCATTACAAAATTATTGTATTTGTTTTAATTATTATATTTTATGGGTGACAAGGTGACTCAATGGGTAGCACTGTGCCTCACAGCAAGAAGGTTGCTAGTTCTAGTCTCGGCTGTGTTCATTGGCATTTCTATGTGAAGTTTGCATGTTCTCCCCGTGTTGGTGGGAGTTTCCTCTGGGTGCTCCGGTTCCCCCCAGTCCAAAGACATGCGCTATTTGTGAACTGAATAAGCTGTGAGTGTGAAGGAGTGTGTATGGATGTTTCCCAGTATTGGGTTGCTGCTGGAGGGGCATCCGCTGTGTAAAACATGCTGAAATAGTTGGCGGTTCATTCCGCTGTGGCGACCTCTGATGAATAAAGGGACTAAGCTGAAGGAAAATGAATGAATGAGTTTCTTTGTAACTAATTGCGCCCAACATCAACTATATATTGTTTATAAACCCACAAAAATCACTATATTATTATTATTATTATTATTACAAAATAAACCTATTTGTATGTATTATATATAAGTCCCAGAATGCACAAATAAAGATTTTGACACGACAAATGCTCAATGTATCATCAGACACAACCGTACCCACCGATATGAACATATATCAACACAAACAACCAAGGCAGTGGCCCAGATTAGAAAATAGTCATGGTAAAAGAGGATTTTATTTTTAGATGGTCATGTTTTATGAATGACCCTCTCTGATCTTCAAGAGGCTACCTCCTCCTTGCCACTGTGTACACATGAGCAGTCAGCTTTGCATTGTATCTCAGAAAGCTGGATTTGCTTTGCAGGTTTATTTGGATTTCGTCTTAAGCCACAATTTTGGGTTGCTTGTCGTTGGCGTTGCAGTTTCCTCATCAAGTCTCCATGACATCCAAATTTACTCTTCTTATTTTGATATGTATATAGTAGTTCTTGTTACAAACGATGTATGTGGGCACTTCATTATTCTGTAAAAATTGATTTGCCCTCATCATTTTTAATCAGCACATTTTTTCCTCGAAAAGATTTTCTTCACTGCTGGTCACCTGGAATTACTTTAGGGTGGGGCTATCAGTGCTTTGGGGCGTGGCTATCATTGTTGTAGGGCGTGGCTTTGAATGCTGTTAGGCAGAGCTATCAGTGCATTAATTAAGTAGGGGCTATTAGTACTTTAGGGCGAGGCTATCAGTACTTTTGGGCGGAGCTATCAGTGCTTTAGGGTGGGGCTATTAGTACTTTATGGCGGAGCAATCAGGGATTTAGGGAGGGGCTATCACTACTTTAGGGCACAGCTACCAATGATCTAGGGCAGGGCTATCAGTGCATTGTGTGGGGCTAACAGTGCTTTGGGGCTAATCAGTGCTTTCGGGCGGAGTTATTAGTGCTTTAGGGTGGAGCTATCAGTGCTTTAGGGCGTGGCTATCATTGTTGTAAGGCGGGGCTATCAATGCTGTAAGGCAGAGCTATCAGTGCATTAAGTTGGGGCTATAAGTACTTTAGGGCGGAGCTAT